ACTATATATATATATATATATATATATATACATATATACATATATATATATACATATATACATATATATATATATACATATATATATATACGATGGAAATTATTACAGACCCGAGTTACCCGACACGGAAGCGTTCTCTCCGTTTCTTCTTCCTTCCTCCTCGAATTTTCCACTCTCCTCCTTCCTCCCCTCCTCGTCCACTCGAATCTTGGAAAATGTTGGAACGGATGGAACGAAACGGGTAAAAGAAAAAAAGAAGAGAAAAAACGTGTAAATAAGCGTTACACTTAGGAGGAAACGAAAAGAGAAAAAGAGGAACGAACGAAGGAGGTACGATACGTCGATCAGGGTATCGGGAGAAATTAATTTTCGTCCGTATAAAAATTTGAAAAAGAAAGAAATCTCGAAAAAAATGTCAACGTATTCTCCGATGCGAGTTTCGTTTCCGTTGTGAAATTAAAGAAAGAAAAAGAAGGAAGGAAGCAAGGAAGGAAGAAAAAAGAAAAGTAACAGTTTGAGGATCGATAATGATAAAATTGTCGGCGTATACTTGTACGGGAATAAGGTTGATCGCCTCGGAACAGTCTCGAAGGGCATTGTAAATAAGTCGAAAATGGTAGAACGGCCCTACGCGACCCACGACGGATACGACCTTCGAATTCCGCGTCCTCGATACACTCACGATTATTTATGTATACACACACACATACACATACACACACACGTTCGTATACTTATTATACGAGAAAGCTATTTCCTTGTATTCTCTTCCAAAACTTCGTTTCGTACCTCATCTCGTCTAGCGAGTCACGGGTTCCTCTTCTCGTCGATTATTGTCGGAACCCGTGACGATTATTATTATTATTATTATTATTATTATTATTATTATTATTATTATTATATTATTTATTGTTTTTCTAACTAAACGCGGCCCACTTCCCCCTCCCCACTTTCTCTCGATCGATCCGACTAACCTAATTTATTCGAACTCGAAATTGTTTTGTTCTCCGATCCGTCTGTCTATCCACGACCCTCCTCTTTCCCTCCTTTTAGTTGTTAGTTTTAAGATTTTCGAGGATAATGTTAAAAAATATTAAAATATTCTCCTTCGATGGGGGAATATTGTTTCGAGTATGCGTCTTGAGCGCGCGCACACACATAACATACACACAAGCACGAACACACAACACGAAACGCGACACGACGTACGCAACGTACGATCCACGAATGGATATAATTGGACGATGCGATCGCGATACGCGCATGCGCGCGCGACTTGTATGCAATTGCGCGTAACGTGTATTGCCACGCGTTGCGACAAGGCGCGAGGAAAGCGTTTTTACACCGAGGCAACGATTTTGATTTTTACTTCATGATTATTTCAATTACATACTCGTTTTTATTTATATAAATCCTATGCGTAATGTAATGATCCTCTTCTTCGTCCTCTTTTGATCATTCCTACGCTTTGTTTTCCGATCCGTCGAGGATATTTTATTTATTTTTATCATAAAGAGAAAAAAAAGGAAAAAAGAATGATCCGATAATCTGAAGGATGGAAATTATCGGGGACGACATCTGGTCCCCATCATTTTCCAAGCACGCAAGAACGGTTTGTACTTGTCCATCAAAAGCTCCCGTTGCTTGGCCATTTTTTTAATTTTTTCCAATTCCATGTATATGTTGTATACGCTACTGTCCGGCCTTATGTGCATCGGATCATCGAACTTGCATCTGTTTGTGAGGGAAAAAAGGAAATATTATTAGAAATTATATTACTGATAACAGATCAGTAGTAAAAACGATTCAACTCACTTAAGTAAACTAAATTTCACCCTCATGTCCACAAAATAGAATCCCACTTGCTTGGTCAGATTCAAGATCGTGCCGAGCTCTATTCTGTTCGAATAAGCTCGCTTTATCAGTCAGTTTCGACCGTTAAATTAAATTAAAAAAAAGGGAAAAAAGGAGAAAACCTTTACCTGAGGTTTTTCGTGTTGGCAAGGAATCGGAGCGTGACGGTGCGCCGATTCAAAATTTTCAAACTGATGTATTCGTTCATCTGTACGAAAATCGGTTTCAAGTAGCACGCGTCGCTCGAGTAAATTTGCCTGGCCGAACCGAAAAATATATTTAGCCTCTCGCTCTTATCTTATCTCGCTATAATTCCGGATATTTTTTGCCGCGAGAATGTAAAAAGAAGAGAATGGAAAGAAATTTGAAAGGAATTATGACCGACGTGTTCGTCAACCTATCCTTATCGTTCACCCACAGTTTTAGCTTTAGTTTTAATTGAAAAACATTCCCCTTCCCCCCCCCCCCGCCACCACGTACTCGGAATCGAGCTCCTGCTCCTTCTCCTCTTTCTCCTTTTCGAACTCCTCCTCGTAAGGTTTCGTCTCGTCCATCCTCTTCTCCTTGTTTCGCGAAACCAGAGATGGCGTTGACACTTTGTTACTGCGCAAACGATCAACGCAAGATTCTTTCGAAATCCTCCACTCGTTTCCACTAGATAATACTCACGTTCTGAACACCTTCATCGTCGGTGGGTAGAAATATTTCTCAAAATGGGCCGCTGCTTTCTCCTGAAAAGAAGAAGAAGAAGAGAGGAGAAGGAAAAGAGGAAGAAATATTATACGCGTTGTCGTTTCTTTAATTAATTCGCTTGACCACTCACCACGTACACGCTCTCGAGTATCGGCGTCTTTTCGTAAATGTCCCATCTCCACGTGAGGGGGATACCGGTCGGGTTATCCTTCCAAACGCCTCCGATCTGATTGTACGACACCCTTGAACAAGAGACAATGGAAAAGTTGAATGAAAGAGGTGGGGAGGCGACATTGATTAAAAAATTCTTTTCCAACGCACGGACCTCGTCCTTCCCTCCTCGTCGAACACGGCACCGTTCCCCATCGTGTCGAACACGGCGATAATCTGGGGCCTCCTCTTCACGCCCATGAAATCTTTGCCTCCTGGGCTGAATACAGTATACATATCGTCTTGAAATCGATTTTTCCGTCATTCTTTTTTTTTTTTACGCCCTTTTTCTCTCGTTCCTCTCGATTAATCAGGGTTGCCGAAAAAATAATTATTTTTTTATTTATATACAGATCGATTTTTTTTGGCAACCCTTTTTTTGACACGATCAATCATCGAGCTGAAGGTTCGAAAATTATTGGAAAGCTTTCGAATTGTTTCCAATCGATGCACGGAAGATGTATCGATAATATTTTTATCGTTTCTCGCTCGTTCAACCTTCAACGAGATTATCGATTTATACGCAACGATACTTTGATAATTACAGTCTCGCTCTGGCGGTCTGCTGAATTTAATGGCAAGGCTCCCATTCGGATAATATATTTCCGCCGCTCTTGCGTCGGAGATGTTCATAAAGACGCGCTTCCCATTGTCTACATCGTAATACAATCTTCTTTCGTGCCTGTGCTTCTTGAACCTGGCGATCGATTAACAACGTTAATTATGATGCCGTCTCGTTGACTCTCCTCTTCGAACCGATAATTGATCCGTCGGTAAGTAAGCAATTGCTAAAAAGTTCGAAGAAGAGATAGAAATTTTTCGAATCGATTTTTCGATCGAAAAAGAATAAATAATTCGTTTCGAGAGGAAATTGAAGTTCGCTTTCTTCCTTTTCTTTTTTTTTTTAACGCTACGTTACTCTCGTCCTCGCGAAATATCATTCGGTAATGGGGACGAGGCGTTGAGGAATCGTCGATACGGCCATCAGCAGCACGGTAATCCTCGAGCTAGCAAAATCAAATTCGTCGATGCATAAAATTTAACGAGCTGTTTCGCGTGATCGAATTCCACGGATGACGAGTTCGATCGAAATCCCATATATCTCTCCGTACATATCCTCGATACACGCGTTATATTTAATCTTGGATACATCTCGAGTCTTAAAGCTTGTTACAGTGAAATTGTAATAAATAAAAAAAAAAAAAATAGATAATAAAGTTTGTTCTAATTTAGTTTTAATCAGGAAGGATTGCGTAACGTCGCCCGTGATAAATCATCGCTTCGCTTCCGCTTTTAATATTCATTAAAACGGACCAAACGTTAATTAATTTTCTTTAAAAATTAAAAATGTATAAGAGGAGGAGGAGGTGAAGGAAATTAACGATTCGATTCGAATTCGCCAAATATTCGTAATCACGTACCAATCGAGATGAGGTTTGGCAGGATGCGCTTGATACTCGATAACTTTCCTCATGATTTTCGAAACGGGGAGCACGGTCCAGCCGAGCTTCACGAACAGCGGGTTTGATAATTGGTACTTGATCGTGGTTTCCTCTGTAACGTAGAAATTTCACGAGGGCGTGGAAACCTATCTGGACGCGCTCGAAACCGCGATGCGATACACGATAACGATGCCCCCACCCCCCAATCGTTTCCCGTACTAAACGATTCAATCACGATCGCGCGCGCGGGAAAATTTCAATCGCGAAATCGGCAGAGATCTATTCTCGATGAAAATTTCTCGTTAGAAAAAAAAAAAAAAAAAAAAGAAGTAGAACAACCATTCTTCGATTTACCGATCGGCTTCTCGTACACTTTCACCACTTTCTTGTAGGGATACACGATCGGCTTCACGTACTCCTTCACCCTGATGAACTCGATTTCCTTCTCCCGTTCCTTTTTCACCAACTCGATTATCTTCTCCTCCTCGTCCGTCAACAATTCCTCCTCCGGCTCTTCGATCTCAACTGCGCGGGAAGCAAGTGTTTAGATCGATCGATCGATCGGCAATCGGCAACTTTAGTCCCCCCTCCCCTCCCCTCCCAAAAAAAAAAACAAGTCACCTTCTTCCTCTTCTTCAAGTCCTCCTCCAATTTATAAGTCACCTTCTTCTTCTTCTTCTCGTCCTCGAAATCTATCCTCTTCTTCCTCCTTCTCTCCCTCGCCTTTTCCTCCTCCTCCTCCCTCCACTCCCTCTCCCACGCCTCCCACCTCCTCCTCCTCCTCCGATCCCACTCGTTCGCCTCCTTCCCCCCCTCCCCCCTCGGATTGTCGACCCCCTCCCCCCTCCTCCCCCTCGGATCGCCAGTCCCCCCTCCCTCCCCCCTCCCCCTCGGGACGTTCGACCCCTCGCCCCACCCCCGCTCCCCCCTCCCCCTCGGATCCAACCTCGTCCGCGCCACCCGCATCGTCCCGCCCCTCCCCCCTCGGATAACCC